AACACGGAGCAAAAACTCCCAACTCACTATAAGTTGAAGACGATAATTCGTAACTACAATATCCTTCCCTTTTCACGAATGTGACCCACCGAATTAGATTATTTACCGGATTTGTAATAACATAAGCAACACGACGGGTGCCACATGTGGAGCAGGATCTGCTTACCCTTCCGGAGCACCTAAGATCACCCCCAGTTTTTGGTGGGGTTCGTGTTGCTTAGACTTTAGTTTTCTATGTTGTGTCATCTGTACTATTATTTGTCTGTTTGTCCTTTTATTTTTGGCCATGGCGTTGTCAGTTTGTTTTCGATCTATGAGTTTGAATGTCCCTCTGGTATCTTTCGTCCCTCTTAGTAGTTTTTATTATTGAAATAGTTTTGTTTCCGTTGAGTTATATGACACAAAAAGTGTTAATTTGGTCAAATATTCTCGAACTTTAATCGCAACTTGTCCAATAAAACTTATGTTCAATATTTATATGACAATTTAATTACAGGGAGTACAATAAATAGTGCTTTATCAGCACTTATTGTCATCCGTGTTGAAGACCTTACTTTGACCTATAATGGTTTACTTTTATAAATTTTGACTTGGATGGAGAGTTGTCTCATTAGCACTCATACTACATCTTCTTATATCTATAGATACAGAATATATCTAAATCTAAAAAGTCCATATCTTGATTGGCTATGCTCATTAGCATTTGAGAAAGGATATATTGATCACCTTACTACAAAGAAAATCTCACTTATATTTTACTTTAAAGTGCAAGCAGGTCGATACTTTTACACGAATCAAACATTTAACAACATTGTGTTAACTTGAAACAACTGTAGGCTTTATGGAGTACCGGACACGCCATATCTTTTAATTCTTTTATCGGGTTTGTCTGACATTTCGTCGTTCATTTTCTTTCGGTTGTTTCATTTAGAAGTCGGCGAGTACATCCCTTTTACGTGGGAAGAAATTATACGCACTGAATATTTAAAAGATAATTAAAGGATTAATGATGCACTTTAGTTTTCACAGATTGATTTTTTTATAAGTTTACAAGAATAGTTTTGTTTGATAAAGTTAAGTGCTTGACCAAGAAATTTAGCCATGAAGAGCAGAGTAAACATTAAGAAATCAAGTACTATTTGTTCATTTTAATTGAACAAAAGATAGCTGCAACTATTTAAACAGTATCCTGTTCAAAGATTAACTATTTTATAGTTGATACCATAATGGAAGAAAATAGTAACTATATAATAATGTTATTCTTTATGTCTCTTGCATACCAATACCGATTGCAGTCTAGCTATTTTCAATATTTTTTTTATCACAACTGAGCAGATACATGTTTGAAACGTGCATCAAATTAAAATCAATATCTTATACATTTTATTATATTACCACTTCTGGTGAACTTGCAGGTTCAAGAAGGTACAACAAATGTATCACCAACGCTGTTCTCTTGTTTGTGTTCTGGCATTGTATAACTTTATTATACATTTTGGGGAAATTTTCGGCAAGTTATCCTCTTATTGCACAAATTTCTTAGCTGGTTTGTGTGTTCCTTTTTAGTGTTAAATCCCAAGTTCACGAATTTTCACATTATTTATTCCCTTTCTGTCACATATTCCGAAATGCATTACAATGTATTTTTTCCCCACATAATATCTATATCTTTTGAGTGTATAAAAAAGCTTTCACAAAGTGTCTGTCAGATTTTAACATGAACAGTACTAACATTTACTAAAATATTTGTTGGTATCATAGCTATTTTAAACTTAAAGCTCCTCCCATCAGACTTTAAATTCTGCGAACACAATTTTCTACCCAAAATTTAAAAACCGACAAATGCTCCATTCAAGGATATAGTGAAGGCGAAAGCATTCACTTACATTTTTTAAATCACTGCGTGAAAAAACGTCAAAGATCCGATGCTATCCCGAACATTCATTTGCAAAGCGAGTGCATATGATTCGGAAAATCTGAACAGACAAACAATGTATTTTGCCAAAAATAATAACAATAACCGGCACCCTTCATTGAGAAAGAAAAGATGGCTTGATATTTGACATCTAGTGGCTAATATTAGAACCAAAAAAAACTGTTAATATGTAATAAATATGAACCCTGGTTGCTTTGTACACTCAACCGATTATTTAATATCTGACTAGGTAACGGTCTGTAGGAGGGCAGGAGAACGTATCACTATTATGAGCGTGTGAACACTGAACAAAAATCCAGTAAAACACTAGGAAATAACAAATATAATCAAGAAACCGATTGTGGTTTAATCATTTTTTCCAACAGAACTAAGCATTTACATAAAATGCCCAAAATTCTTATATTTCTCATTTTACAATAACTCTAGTATATATAGCACGACACTACCTCAAAGGCAAACTATTTTTGCTGAAATTTTAAGTATTGATTTAGGATATATTTCTTATGTTTCCCAAAACGTAAAATCATTAAGTTGGTATTTAGCTATTAATTGGCCAGTAGATTACTTTATCCTGTTAATGTCAATCACAACTGTCTCTTTGATGGGCATTTATTTATAAGCAAATAAACAGATTATCTCTTAACATAGTATTAAGTCAATGAAGTATTATCATTTCAAAGAAGGATGAACAAAATTTAATGCTATCCAATATACACGGATTGCCGCTTAAAAAGTATAGCAAGTAACATGTTCTCAAATTAATATTGTTTGAAATGTTCTTTTCTTTTTAAAAAAATTCTGTGAAACAAAATTAACAAATATTTCTAAACTTGTAGTCCAAATCGAGGACACGATCTGGTGTACTCATTTTTACCGGCAAAAAGACGCTATCTCGTAGAGTAATATTGTCGTACGATACCTTTCCAGGTTACAATATTTCCATCCCATTGACTTATATATACTAAGCATAGCCTAGAAGAAAAAAATAATGAGGTTTGTTTTTTTAAATAATCTTTTGACTGAAAAAAGGATTAAACATTACAAATTTACTTTTATTAGACAAAATAATCGCATTTCGACTTTTCGGAAAACTCCTTTGGAGTGGGGTTATATTAAAACTCATTTAAAAATTATTGCATACGTGTGTTTTGTTAATACAACGGTATTGGTGTTTAATTAAGGACGATAACATGCGAATCAATATTACAATGTAATCACGTTTATGTTCACATCACAAACTTCTGGACTTGCGGTCACTAAAATTTCGAGCACGATTATCGTACTCAGATTAAAAAATCAACCAATCAAAATACTGGATTTGATGTTAGGAGCACAAGTTTTGTACTCCGAGTACTGAGTAAAGTTATATGACCGTGGGCCCGGTAATTGTGATGATTGTTAACGTAAGATACAATTGCAAAGTTGTTGTGTTTTCGCAGCAAAATTCAACCCATATCCCCGTACATACTATATAATGTTATCTAAAATATGTGATGGTATAAGATGAAAAACATATAACGTTAATTTCTTGTTGTGACATAATTGACTCTATAATATCCATTAAATATGTCATCCTTAATTTTAATTTCAAACAGGATACATGCGATCAACATAGTCATTAAACTTTGAACAATTCAGTTAAAGGAATTCATCTGTATATTGAAGGTTATAGGATAAGGTTAGCTTCCATGAATTCTATTTGAGATTAACATCTGTGCAACAATTGCAACTTGCAGAACATGCATATAGTTCCTCTTTTTATATAATAAAGCGGATTATGAATAAGAAATTGATGTTATAGTACCAGTTAAAGCCCTTATAGAGGAAGACGTATGGATTCGCTGAATGTGTCTAAGAGGTAGAAAAAAAAACGTTACCATTTAATCATTAAAACAATTGGTATATAATTATTCAGTTAAATGCAAGTTTGTTAGAAGTTAAAATTACATAGTCATACAAACCATATATTACTGTACATTAATTGAAAGCCGGGGGTATAGTGAACCAGTAGTATTCCCATGGAGGGATGCACCTCGTTTTATGAAAGTATATTTTTGTCGATTCTGGATTCAGACAATGACTTAGATATCAAATAGAACTGGCTATTGTCGCAAGCTCTGTCATCACCAATTAGAAAACCAAGACAAATGACATAGATATGAATCAAAGTCATAATATCAAAGGAAACGAGAAATTATATTTCAGAATAAAAAAGTAACTTATATCAGAGTAATATACATATGTCTTATTTAGATACGCACATCCGTCTTCAACGCAAAAATAACTGATATGCTCTGTTCGCTTAAACATAATCTAAATTTCATCATCAAGCAAATAACAAAAGAAGAAAAAAAACTTCACAGAACAAAATAAAACGCGTTGCCTTGAAAAATTTAAAACACAATGATATTTTAACCAAAAAGACTGACAAATATTAAATTGAAAAATTCATTTGAACAAATAAAAAATAGAATAGGAATATTTTGCTATTTCAATACTTCTGTTCAATGTATTGCTTCATTTCAATAAAGCATTCATTATTGCTGCTTTTAATGTACAAAATGCTATCAAAAGCCAATTAACTACTAAAACAATCTACAGGTAATTTCAATGTGCCGTCCGAACGTCTTCTAGTTTTTTTTTCCGTTGGGTTGCTGTCTCATTGACGTATAGCCCACATATCCTTGTATTATATGTATTTTTTTTAAAAACTGTTAAACCACTTCTGAACTCACAACCCATGAAAACGGTATCAAAACATACCAATATTCATTGCTTTACCTGTTATTCACTTATTTCCCATAAGAGATTTTCTCTTTTTAACGATACATGCTATATCTGACACCGGATGTTAAGCAACCATTAATTAATTAATCAATCATACATTTATTGTTATAATCATTACTTATCTAGATCTATCGTTAAACTTCATGTTCACGCATTTGCTTCTTTTCTCTAAAGTCATCGTAGACAGTAACTGTTGTTAATTATTTTTACATTCTATACTCAAATCTTTTTTTTATAACGACGTGCATAAAAAAGATATTTATATACATGCCTGTTGTTGAAGTGCCGCTCTAATTTCTTGTATTTTTCTCTCATTTTTATAACATCTTCTGGCAGCATATGCCATACCAATAATACATGCTGCCCCAGCAATACCAACTCCAATAGGTACACAAACACTCATCAGATATTTGCTGTTATTCTGGAGAGCAAACAGAAAATGTCAGAGAATTACTGAGTTATGTATATGTGTATAATGTTTATAAATGATTCTCTACGACAATAATCTAATATAATTATCAAGAAGTGCAATACGAATAATTTTATCATTTTAATCTATAATACTCTGAATCTTTTTATATTTGATAGGAAATGTTTTAAATGCTGCAGTTGAAAACGTTTAAAGAAACTGATTCAGAGCAAATATTTACCTTCCATAACACTCCACCAAATGGTTCATCTTCTATTGGCACTGCAAGGAAAACAGACAATTATTATAATTCAACGTGTGAAATTTTTGAAATAAAAGTTGTTTTTAAAGCTTTACTCATATGAATCGAGCATACTAAACGTATTTGCATATTTTTAGCAAAGTTTCGACGATATTGAATTCGGCTAAATAATATGGCTGTCTAGCCTTCCGAACTTCAATATTGCAGTTTCTGAACACACTATATTGAGTTACAAACAAAACATATCAAACTTTTTTTATAATGCCCCATGGAGTGAGGAAGAACCCTTTTGACTTTGGGTCTAATGGACAAAGTTTGAGATCACAGCAGCTACTGATAAAATTATCATTTGGGGATAGTCCTGGAAAATTTCCATACTATTTTTTTAAAATAGATTTGCAACAAAATACTGATTTAGGTTTATTACATGTACATGAAGACTCATTCATGTAAACTCTGATTATAAGTGATCACATCCTAGACATAGAATTATGGCGATAAAAAACAGACCCTAGTGATATAAAAACTTGTGAAATTTGTAAGGTTTATGATGATTACCTTTTTGGCGTACCAGTATTCATATTAGAAACAATTCAATTGATAACATTAAAAAATCACCCCAATGTTAATCAGCTTGAACCATTCTCAAATCTAATTGTTTTTGTAATTCCTAAAAAACCTTTTTTTCAAGTGTTGTAGACTATAAAAAGCTATCTAGAGAATTGGGAAAGGGAAGTCCACATTAGTCAGTTATATAATATTAATGAACAGATATGGTGCACGTTTTGTAATGTTGTATAGAATATATGTTTTGTATTGCTAAACCCGTTAGTCTTTTCTTAAATGCAATAAAGGTTTTTACTGGCCTCTTACACACCACCATTAATTCCATTTTACTATTGCAGAAAACTTTTTAAAACATAATAATAATTGAATACGATGTCTATGAACAAGGAAATTGTTCACTGGAATTGAATAAGAATGATTAAGATTGAAACCTTACAGAAAATAATTGTTCAACCAATATTAGATCGTGACGAAGTAAAATATCATTTCACAACCTTTAATCTTCAGGAAATACGATTACAAAATATATTTGCTTGGATTTTCAACCCGACCCTTTTGAATGACATTCTGAACATCTTCAAAGGGAAAACATTTTAATTATCTAACAAATGGGAAAAGTTTTTATAATTACATTTTCTTTGTTCTAATCTTTTATTAGTTTTCATCTTTATTTTTGGTAAACGTGATCCACTTAGATGACGTCTTACGTCTTCTTAACATCTAGTAATATTTCTTGATAAAACCAAAAAGTGGATTTTACAAATTTTTGCAAATGTATATGCAACTATAAATAAAACATTCAAGATAAGTAAACAACAACAATGTGTTACACCAAGAGTCAATAGAATACAATCCAGCATCAGGTATAACGTACATTGTCAATCTGGACCGAAATTCATAAAACTAGTAATAGATAGTATTCCCCGATCTTTAGTTTTACCGTTTAGGTGGAGCGATCGTATTTTCTAGACCATACGGATAATTACCATGATATCAAAACAAAAACAAAAATAATACCAGAATGTAATAAGACATTATATACCATCTTCAACAATAAAGCAATATCTGTACCCATTTGTCATGCTGTAAAATGCCAACACTCTAAAAACCGGTTAATATTTAACAAGAACTATCAAAGATCAGCAATCAACACAATATTAGATGTAATTCTTAATTTAGATTAATGGTTATTTAAAATACGTGAAGCAATAGGTATTATGTGACGTGTTTTTGTTAGGTTTTTTTTTCTAAAATCAGATTTTAAATTTCTATTTTTTCCTTAACACTAAGCTTGCATTGATTTCCCGATTTTTGACATCTTTCAAACAATGTGCGAAAAGTTCGTTCTACAGCAAACATTATAATTATACACATCAATTTAATGCTTTTGAAATTGAATTTCGTGCAATTATCCATAACTTAGCCAATACAGATAAACTCGCATTCAATATTTGCTTTGACAGATACTAACAAGAACTATTTCCATTTAAAGCGACTCCTTTTGTGTTTTAATGGGAAGTTGTAGTTCTATAGGAAAATGTACCAAGTTTACAAGATAGATTGAGGTATAATTGATGTATTCTGACAAAGTACATGGAACAGTTACAAAAACTTTTTAGAATTTTTTTTAAATTACCTTTAATCTATATTGGAAGTGCAATAATGTTTCATTTTATTCTTTTGATGATAAAATTTCTTTTGATGTTGACTAACTTTTAAAGGGGTCAGTTTTGTTTTGTTAAATTCTACTGTATTGAAAGAAAAAGATGTTCGAAATGACTGTTCTTTTCTTTAGACAAAAAGTTGTGAGAAGTCTGTGTTCAGAGAATTGTATTTTTGTTGAACATTCATAATTTCTATTTACAATGTTTTTCTTTCATTTTACTCATGTTTGATTTATGCTCGTTTTATCTTTGCAATTATTCACTATTTCATCCCGCAAAAGAATGAAAGAATAACATTAACACTGCGAAATAGGATGATTAATCACAAGTAACAAGGAAGAGTAAATACGACCACTCCATTCAAGGTTAACTTTTCTGTAAAAGTTAACATCATTTCAAAAAATAATAACAGCAAAGATCAATAATGACGCACCACTCACACAAACAAAACTAATTACTCCTCTAAACTACACGAAGATATTTGATAAGCATAAGAAATACCAGTAATAATATTCAGACTAAGTACAGACACCAAATCTCCTCAATCTACCTGAAGCTATACTGTAACGGAATGTCAAATCCATTTGAGGTGAACTTTGCTTTACTAAATTTGAACCACCACCTTCACTATCATCAATCATCATCATCACTATCACTGATCATCACCTTCATTAACAAAACACGTATAATGTTGTGACCACTGCATATAATGTTGTGACCACTGCATATAATGTTGTGACTACTGCATATAATGCTGCCAGTCTGCATATAACGCTGTAACCACTGCATATAATGCTATGACCACTGCATATAATGATCATCAGAATAAGGCCGTCATGGTGTTCAATATAAAACTCCGTACATAATAACAAATATACTAAACAATGGTATTAACTTATTAACAAGTATAGTTTTTGCCAGGTACAAATTCTTGCCTTCGCACTTAATTCGTTTAATACCTGGATTGAAAAGATTCGTTTATTATCCAGAAATTGTGATTGGAGCGTCGCCTATAATTTTCTTCTTTTGACGTTTTCAATATGGCATATACTTAAAAATAAAATACAATGGCGAGAATTGACTTTCGACGATAATTACTCTCTAACCAGTAGGAATCTATGAATTTAAATAAACACAATAGTATTGGTGGTTATACGGTTAGGAATCAGATGTGGATACTTAAAATAAATCAAGAAATCTGTAAGATAATTTCAATCTCCTCATCCACTAAAACATATGTGTCTTCTTTACTCTTTTTACTAGTGTTCCTCCTTCTAAACTTAAAGACCATTTACACGAATTAGTTCAATTTTGTTTCACAGAACAGATTTAGAATGGCCAACGCAAATAAAAATTTCTTGTTTAAGTAAGAAAGAACCAATTTATACCATGTAAAACACTTTGGATTTTTGTATTGACAACATATTTGTTACGTCTGAAGGACCTGTATTTAAACAGGAAATCAGTATTCATATGGGAACCAGCTGTGTCCCTCTGCTTGCCGACTTGTTCCTTTATTGTTATGGACAGACTTTATACAGGAACTTCGCAAGAAATATAAAAATAGGCTGGAATTATTCTTTAGCTTACTTTTCCGCTATAAAGATGACGTCCTTTCGCTGAATTCTAAGTTTGGTGACTATGTTGCCTGGATCTTATGCAATGAAATTGTAATAACAGATATAACAGACAAAAGAAAGGGTTTCAATTTTCCTCTTGTGAACTTTTCATTCCGAGTGTAGCAACATTCCTAGAGCGCCTGCATATGGAGTATATATATTTCACAACGGTTACGATATTCCAAGGGGTTCCTATCATGAATACCTTGATAGAGGATTACTGCTTACAAGGAAGCTATTGCATCAAAGGTTCAAAATGTTATAGTTTAAGTCGTCTCTTCAAAGTTTTACGGACGCTTTCACGGTTTAGTTGATCATTATGGAATACCTATATCATAGATGTCCACTTATATGATCCACTCGTTACAACATTCCCGTCCTCTTTTCCTAGATTGTGACATTACAGGAAGGTAGTTTTTACCGATTGTCTACCGGTACTTGCATGAGCAACACGACGGGTATCGCTAGTGGAACAAGAACTGTTTACCCTTCCGGATTACCTGAGTTTATCATGGCTTGTGATAGTGTTCGTGTTGCTCAAACTTTTGGTTTTCCGTGTAATATTTTCTAAATGTTGTTTTTCTTTTGATTGTTTTTCGTTTTGGTCATGGTGTTGTCTGTTTTCATTGAACTTGTAACTTTTGATTGCCTCCATGATTTCTTCTCTCTCTTATGTTGACTGGGATCATCCTTTTAAAACAGGCTCGGCTAATGAGTAAAGTTAGAAAATTCAAATCAATAACTAATGAACGTTCTGATAGTTGTTTGAATACAGTCAACATAGTGCTGAATTACTGTGATGCAAATATTACAGAATCAATTCTGAGTGGGATAGGTGTTTCTTTGTCCGAAAGTGTTAATCGCGTGCAGAATTCGCTGGCCTTTTCGACCTAAAAGCCGCATATATTATATTTATGGATGCCTAGTGTGTTTTTCTTCTTTGTTTACAAATACAAAAACTCTACCATCGTTTAAACAGAATATTCATAGTTCTGTCATTTATTGATGAAGGTAAATCCAGAAAAGCGCTTCGGATGCATAAAATTTTTTGTGTGTTGTTTTCATTTTTTACAGCACTGGGTCGATACCTCTGCTGGTGGAATATCAGTCCCCGAGGGTATCATCAGCCCAGTAGTCAGTACTTCGGTACTGACATGATTTATAACAAAC